AATATTCTAACTATAAACTAAACCAAACAGATCAATTTTTGTTATTGTGATTGGATAGAAAATTTTTCAATAATATTTTCATTATAAAAATTGCCTAATAGTTCAATAATATTTAAAGTAGAAAAAACAAATAATATTTTCATTTTTTATAAATATTTAACAGGCGTATATATAATTAAAATAAAAAATGAAACGTGTCTATTACTCTCTTTTTTTCCTGACAAACTGTGAGTTTTAGCTATTTTTTGTATTTTAAAAAAAAGTAATGACCTAACTTATTTAACAAACCAATAGACTACTTTTTTTTTTAAGGAAAAGACAACTATTATTGTGCCCTATCTATAACGATAAATCATCAGTGTTTTGTTTCTCACAACAAAATACTCCTTTTTTTTACGTCAAATATTACGCAACTATTACGAATTGAAGTGAGATGATAAAAAAAGACATAAGGGAAAGAGAAAAAGTATTAAAAAATATTAATAAAAAATGATACTCTCTCTTTCACTATACTGATAATGTCACTGTATAGAATATATTAATAAACAGCTTGAGACTAGACGAATTATACTACAAAAACTTAGGAAAATGATACTTGAACAACCATTTTTGACAACATTTATACATGTGTTTTCGTGTCTAAATGTTGTCAAAAATGGTTGTTCAAGTGTCATTTTCCAAAAACTTATGTCTATGATTAATATTATTTTTTGTTTGGTATATATATTTATGAAGATTTGATTTGGCCAAGCGTGTCGAAAGTTGAATCCAGTTACAAGTTGTGCTTTTACTAAAATAATTAACGAATCACTTCTGAGTGGACTTGGTGCGTTACAACCAAACTTGGCAGCTACATATTTAAGTCACTTCATTCTAACCAACAATCTAATCCATTTTTTTTTATCACATTACTGTCATTCCTTCACATATTAATTCATTTTGTAATGCTAAAATTTTATCTTTTCTAGATTTTGTTAGAAATAGAATGAATACTATATGTTAAACACACCATAATAGTTTCAATAATAGTTTCAAAAGGTCAAAAAATTAAGAATAAAGATTAATAATTGTTTCTAACATGTTGAATAATTTTATATCGTTTAAATATTAAAATCAAGTATAATTTAAATATTATTTTTTTCTTCTAGATATATTTTAAAAAGTAAACCAAGATTAAATACAAATTTCAAAACAGACAATATGAATATTTAATTATGTACAATGTGACTGTTCGATCAACTATGGACTGAGCTGTCAACAAATCTTTTCAATTTTTTCTAAAATGATCGGTAGATCGATTTGATCGAATTACAGACAAAATTAGCAATGAGAATAATTATATTAACTCTAAATCAGATCATTACTGTTTGAGTTGTAATTAGCTAATACTAACATCTTAAAATCTATAAATACTAGTTTGACATTGAGATACTTGGTTACTTTTACTACGTATTTATTGTTAGAGTATTCAGATAAACACTGACTTTAGTATCAAAGTGTTTTTTACAATCTAATGCCCGATCTAACCAAACCATATAGAAAAAATCTAAAGATAAAACCTAGACCTAAGCTTAGAACATAGAAATTATTTGTGAAAAAAAAAATTAACCTCCACCCCTTAAACCAATACAAATTTCTTAAATCTTCTAATTAAAGACATTCAATCAGAAACAAAAACAATTTAAATATTTATTTTCTGTTCAACTATTCAAAACATTTTTTAAAAATAAAATCATGATAATAATATTTCATACTCAAATCGATAATACTTCGGATAATGATATTATTTTAATACATAGAATCGTAACAACTTGTAAAACTGTCTAAATTTGACTCTGTGGGAATAATCTCCTACAAAAATTGAGAGGTTGTAGTGAATTATGAACATAGCTTAAGTTTACATAGTCCTCTTTCTTGTTTATCCTTTAAATCTATCAACATGGAAGAGTATCTAACAATATCTTCTTTCCATTATTCTGTTTGGCTAAAATTCCTATCAGAACTCTGAAGCTTGAGTTAAGCTGCAAGTGCAGAGATATCATCCAAAAAAACAGTTTCGAATACAACAAAGTTAGGCCTTTTCCATTTCTCATAAGAAATTGGTTCTAATATAAGAAATGATCACCCTGTCCCGTGAGGGGTCATCAATAGGGTCTACAGCTACACATCATTATTCTAATCTTCTGCCACCAAACCCTTGAGACCAGTACTATATATATCACTCAACACGTTTGCTTTCTATTCCATCAAGCTTTCTTTTGTTCGTAGTTCTTCCTGCTTCACTTATATGCTATATTTTCTAGCATTCATCACTTCTAAAACTTGTTGCATTCCTCTGTTCTTTCTGTTTTAACATGGAACTCAATTTTAAGCACCAACTTGGCCTTCTCTGTCTCACACTGCTCTTACCTGCTCTGTGTTCCTCTCAGGACTCTTTTACTTGCTCAAGAGCAACCTATTATGGTAGCCCAGATTGTTATGGAAATCCAAGTATGAACCTTCTTTTCTATTATCTATTCTTGCACTCGTACATGTATGGTGTGTACCAAGCACATTTTTATATTGTTTGTTTATATATAATGGACAAAAACTTGCATAAGTGACATATAAATGTTATTTTCAACAAAGGATAATGATATTTTGATAATATTTTAACATTATTTATGTGTCATCACAGTTTATGTTAGTCTTCATGATCATTATTATTGATTGTAAAGTAATTTTGAACCAATCACGTAATAAATCATATATAGATCGTGATTCAGACGTCCCTCCATGATAAGATTGTGGTATAGCTGAGAGGTGGAGATCTACGTGTGTTTCCTACAGTAAAACAGTGTACTTGAGTGCCATGTTTATAATATATAAAAACTATAAGTTATTCATTTTTATAATAATTATTACGATAAAAATCATGTTCTTTGTTAGATGACTGTAAATTTGTTCTTTTTTCTTTTTACACATATTAGTTGTGAACAGAAATGATTTAATAATGTTTTAGGGGGAGCTTGTGGCTTTGGCGAATATGGAAAAACAGTAAACGATGGAAGTGTTGCAGGCGTGTCCTGGCTATGGAAGAATGGATCTGGCTGTGGGGCATGTTATCAGGTTACTGCACTCGATGAACCCCTTTAGTTTCTTGTAGCCTTTTTCATTTAAAAGTATTACGTCCTCAAAACATGCTTCTTTAAGTAGACTAAATTTCTTATATGGATCCGTCAAATCATACATTCCATAATCTGTTGGAAGTAGTTGGTTCATTTGTGATATATATATATAAAAGAAGGGTTATGGTGATGATGAAAAATCAGGTTAGGTGTAAAATAGCAGAATTGTGCGATGAGAATGGAGCATACGTGGTGGTGACAGATTATGGTGAGGGAGACAGAACAGACTTTATAATGAGTGCACGTGGCTACTCAAAATTGGGGAGAAACACGTATGCAGCTGCAGAGCTATTGAAATACGGTGTAGTGGACGTAGAATACAGAAGGGTCCCCTGTAGATACGGTGGCTACAACCTCTTGGTTAAGGTCCACGAACACAGCAGAAACCCTCACTACCTGGCCATTCTCATTCTCTATATCGGTGGAACTTACGACGTCACTGCTGTTGAGTTGTGGCAGGTATAAATAGAAATTTTTTATGCTAGAATGAGATATGTTTGTATTCAGTAACTATTCTTGAATTGATGAAATATTGTTGGAGTAGGAAGAGTGCCAAGAGTGGAGGCGAATGCGCAGAGCATTTGGGACAGTGTTTGATGCTGAGAACCCGCCAAGGGGTGACATAAAGTTGAGGTTCCAATTGAGTGGTAATGCAGAGCAGTATTGGGTGCAATCCAAGAATGTTATTTCTGGTGATTGGGAGGCTGGAGCTGTTTATGACTCAGAAATTCACCTTGGATAAAAGGAAAAAACACTTTCTGATTTCACCAATGTAGATGGTCACTAGATTACTAGTGTTTTGTTGTTTATGGATTCTGAAATTCTTAGAATGTTCCTTTGTGGTCAGTGGATCTAGTGCTCTTTGTAGAACTGTGGGAATTCATAATATGAACAAATAAAAAGTGCTGCTCTGTTGATGTTAATTAGAATTCCTTCGACATTGTTATGCTTGAAATTAAACTGATAGGCCATGCACATATGATGGCATTGGCATAGGTATGGTACTTCAATTTGTCACTTTAATTAATATATAATATCTCCAAAAGATTATAACAAGAATGAATTTTTATAGCAAATTAATAGTGTAATAATAGGTAACACATTTATATTTATTTGATACAGTTTGATTAAAATATCATTTCTGTTAAATTAACCCTTTGAAACAACAATCCTATTGAATAAAAATATTAATATTATTTAAATTTGTCTTTTAGAGATAATTTTTCTTGAGTTTTACTCAATAAATGTATATCAAATATTAAATATTCTTAAATAAATAGATGTTTCAAGGAGCAATCAACTAATTAAATGATATATCATGAACCAATCTAGATATTTACTAAAAAATTACTTTTTAATGATGTGATAAATATGCAATTTGTTTTCGATAAACTTACATGTTTTACATGTTTAAATAACAATGTCTTTTGCTTTCAACAAACTTAGTGCGAACTTCAGATCTTTTAAGCATCAAATTCACAATCATAGATGTTAAGAATTGAATTATGTAAAAATAATAGTTACATAATATATAAAAGAAAGTACCCACCAATAGATCAAACCTTTTCATAAGTTAAAAACAATCTACAACTCTCCATTTTTACAGAAGTTGAATGAGCATTTCTGTAGAAGTTAAAATGCAAAAATTGTAATTTAATTTATAAAACTTTATTTTATATTAATTTTAAGTATTTTCTCTTGTAAATACTTGTTTATTCAAACTGAGTTGTGGATAGAGATATCAATATCAACAGTAGTTGCTGAAATTCAAGTTGGAATTTGTTTAATATTGATGAAGTTTGCACTAGAGCTACAAAAACACGATTCCATTGATCAATACATTCTGCCAGTACATTCAGCAGAACCGCAGTAACAATACTTCCTTTTTATATTACCATCAGAATCGCGGACTTGATCTAGTTCGTAGTTGTAATCGTAGGTCAGCTCTTGCAAAGGAGGAATGTTATCAGCAGCAAAGAACATTATGTGAGGCATTCTGGTGTCATGATGATCATAAAGGACGTTCTGAGCAATTATATTAGGTGAGCAACTATGGTTAATGAATCTCCCTATATTGCCAAACTCAGCAGCATCAATAGTAAAACCACCATCCTTCACAACATCGCAGGAACTTGTCTGTGCATCCGGCATGAGAGTCGTAAGTCCATCCCAGAGAGTACTGTTGCTGCAGTTATTTCCAATATCAAAAAGATACTCATCATTACCTGCCCTTAGTTCAGCTTCCTTTTCTTCAAGAAGCTCCCCTATATATTCACAGATATAACTTCCTGAAGGGATTGAACTCAGGGATCTCACACCCCATCCCCTTGACTGGGTTTTAAATATTTCAAGTGGAAACTTTATGCCAAGTTGGCTGACTCTATTATAGCACGTTGAAGGACACTTACAAGTAGGTCCACACTCATAGACTAAAGGTTTTGCTTGTACAATAGCCTCATTGTGATTGAATGGAATATCTCCCCCATTCTTCACCACACACTAACATTTTTCCAAATCTGAGCATCCACTAATACAATCACATCCTTCGGCAGGAAGGAGATGGAATTTGGGGTATATCATGCTAGTTATGTAATTAAATGGAGGAGGTTTTTCATCATCTATGGTGTTCACAGCGCATATTGGAATTCGTTCTTTTCCAAAAGAAATATCAGCAACACATACACCTTCTCTCGTTTTGAACTTTTTAGATTTCTTCACTACTCTCAAAGGAAGCTCTGGTTGACCAGGTTCTCTTTGCAGTCGAAATTTAAAAATTTTCTTCCCGTGTGGTCCGTGTTCATCCCAACCTGCCTCAACTACATACACCCCATCATAAACATAAGTCCTGCATTTTCCATCCATTGACTCAGAGCCACGAATTACTCTAACAGGATTCTTTTCAATACTACTGTTCATCAAAGCAAGATTGCCCCGCTCAAGCTTCTGATCTTCAGGTTCCTTATCACTGTTCATCACATTTCCACCCTGTCCTGTATATGTCAATACATCCGAATTATCCAAATCGTCAGCATAGCCCCCTGATGCAACAATACTGGTTGCAAGGATCTTACCGTTGTGTCGCACATAATCTATGCCACCTTGAATTGGACGATGAAGGCCAACTATATTAAGCTCCACTCTATATTGAAATTCATCACCGACTTCGACACCAGGGACACAGCCTAGTATTTGTTTGCCTGTGTTGACATATTTCCCATTCTCCTTAAGGATCTTTGAAGCAACTAAATCAACTCTCTTATTATTTGCTCGCTCATTTAACTTTGATTCTACTTCCTGTAAAAGCTTTCTACAAATAACTTGAAACAACCGTAATGTTTCCCTCACTTTTTTTCGGGTCACATTTGGGTCATTCTCATCACCAGTGAAATTCGAATGAGAAGAGGGAGTAAGGTTTACATCAAACTCATTTGATCTCAGAACAATTTGAAGAGTGTCATCATTTTCATTAGGGTTAAGATAATCCTCCTTTTCCCAAAGTACTAATTCACCCATACCTACAGAAGCAGGATTTCCCTTTTTCTTTTTCAAAGGTTTCTTCTCAGAATCATTCAACAAACCACTATACTCTGTTCTAGACCTATCAGGCAATGCAAAAGAATCACCTTTCTTTCTCTTGCCTTTACTATTACCAGCACCCAACTTAAATTTGGAGGTACCTTTATCAGACCTCCACGGACATTCTGAATCAGCCATCAAACCTAGTATTACTTTCCTCTGTGATGTGACCTGCAGTCTATTAAAATTCCCTTTCAATTTATGCTTAGATTGAGATATCCACGAAGGCTTTGTCTCATCCCTATTTTTCTCTTTTACCACCGCCTTAGAATTTATTTTGATCTGATGGTGATTACTTGTTTCAGGGGGTGTAGCATACTTTTCTCTCTCATTTTCAGTTGACTTTTTCATCTCAGACGATGGTTCACATGCACGCAGCTTTTTCAATCTCTCTGCAGAATTTCTTTCAGAATCAAGTTGATCGATGTCAACAAGCTTCCTGTTGCAATTATATTCATCCTGAATATTACTTTTACCTTCTTTTACATCAGTAGCTGCTACTTTTTTCAATGGATTGTCATCTACAGCCAGGTTTTGTTGACCTTTTGTCTTGTTGTTCAAAGAAGAGGTCCCCTCTAGACACACATGTTTGTCCTTACCGAGACGTGGAGCACTACGTCCACATAAAGGAGGGAAGTTTCTAACAGCTGAAACTTTTCTTTGCGGAAGGTACCTTCTAGTTATAGGCTCCACCATACAAGCACTGGAAGCTGATGTTTTATCAATGGATAAGTGTTTTGAACCATCCGGCACAGCCATCTCACCCACTGGTGAAGACGACTCCAACATATATGAGGAGTTACATTTTCCAGTGTTTGCAGTTCTTGAAAACTCTGTATTCAAAGTTTCCTGGTCCATTAAAGGCACTTCTGCAGGTTTATCTTCGGCAGCAGGGCCATCCACTAGATGAGATGAGACCGCAGGGTTTTCCTTATTCAAACCACAGTCAGTTGTTCGCTCACCAGTCACTTTTGCCAGTTTATCTTCTGTGATGGGCCCATTCACTTGATGTGATGAGACCTCATGGTTTTCCAGATTCAAACTGCAGTCCTCTGTTTGAGCAAGCATCACTTTTGCAGGGTTATCTTCTCGAGTAGACCCGTCCACTTGATGAGATGAGACCACAGGGATTTCCTGATTCACACCACAATCAGTTGTTCGCCCAAGAGTCACTTTTGCAGCTTCATCTTCGGCATTATGTTCATCCACTCTATGAGATGTGTCTACAGGGCTTTCCTCGTTCAAACCAAGATCAGTGCTTTGGCTATTAGTCACTACTACCCCCGGTTTATCTTCAGCAGTAGATCCACAATCATTGATTTGGCTAATAGTCACTATTCCCGTTTTATCTTCAGCAGTAGATCCATCCACATGATAAGATGAGACCATGGGGTTGTCCTTATCCAAACCACTGTCAGCTGTTGGGACATGAGTCTCGGTGAAACGAAAACCTTTCACCTCAGAATGCCAACCATCATTTTCACATGTGGAAGTTTTCACACCCACTAAATGTTCACCATTCTTAACCTCAACAATTGTACCATTAACAGAACCACAACCTGCAGTATTTATATTTGATACTTCATCAATCTTTGAAGCAGATGGTCCACACCCATCAGGGAAATCCCGAATGGCGGAAACTTTACGTCGCTTAAACACTGGCCTAACGGGGGAAGTGGCCCCATCTTTCATCAAAGAGCCATATCTTTCTTCCTTCGAATGACCATTATTTTCTGGTGTTTTCATTTCTCTCTATGACTCTGAATTGAACAAAATTTCAAGCTCCCATTCCCTCAACAAGAGATAGAAAAACTTACGTGCACTGTCAAAAAGTGTTCAAATTAGAAAAAAGAAAGCAACGAATGTTTCCATATAGATTAACAACTCAATCATAACTTTCATGGGAAGAATTAAAGTGTAAAATAGCCATTTAGAAAAAGCTAAACAAGTTGCTCTAGGAAGCACGGACACATCTAAAGAACACTCTATCAAGGAGTCACATACTTGTTGGACACAGCATGCCTTCATGATATGTTGGACACTTCTCAACAGGGTTACAAGTAAAAATTTAATATAAACTACAGAGAGAGAGTAATGCTATGAGGCCAATTGGAGCAAAGGCAAAAGTGGGAAATAATGATCAGGGAAATTCTTTTATGACCTAATTGACATGTTTGTGCAGAAAGGAGGAAAAGTATTGGTGAAAAATAACTAACTCCAAGTTGCACAATTTTGTGTGGGACTGAAAATAAACATTATGGCATGAAAAATATTCAGAGAAGAGGGGATAGTAGAGGATTTCTTCTTTCTTTGAACCTTCTTAGTAAATCATATGGCCATCTCATCATGTGGATATCCATATTATCCGTTTCATTTCATTAATAACACTAGACACTACTAAGGCACTATTTCTTAGAATAAAGGTTCTAGATTAATGTCTCAGTTGCACAAAGAAGGCACGCCAAACAAGAGCTGACCTTACCTCAATGATTTAGAAGACCATCGATTACCCACAATAAAGACCATGCACCATGAGCAACCATGATACTTTTCAAAAACACCCCTTTCTCCCAAGGTCATGTCATGTCCATGTCCAATTGTAAATCCATGAGTGGGAGCGTTCGATGCAGTTTTGGGTGAGAGAACGGTGGTGGTGGATAGACAGAGCAGGGCAGATACACAGAGTTGGATGGGTGGAAAAGTAGTGTGAGATAATGGGTGTTCAAAAGAAAAGAAAGGTTATCACATTGGTATCAATTAGCTTTGGGGATGATGGTGACGGTCAAGGAATTGGAAAACCACATGGATTCTTGTGAAAAAATCTCTATGATCATCAAGAATTGGTACGATTTTCCTTGGAAAAAATGCAGAAGTCCATTGATGGACTTACAGCAGTGCTAACAGCATTGCAGACATCCAAACACGGATCTTGTGAGGAGGAAATCTAGGTAAAAATGTCGATGGTAGGAACTTCAACGATGGTGCGTGCCAAATACCATTTCCCAACTTTTATGCTCAAACTTTCGCAAATGGAAAGGGAAGGCAATTTGATCCGGAGCGGACACCGGAGGTGCAAGGCAGTAGGTTGCTGCTTTTATCCATGGATGGTAAGGCCTTTGTGTGGCAACGACATTACATGCAGAGTCCCACTAACAAATACAAATCGTGGCAGCAAATTATTCAAGATGATAGTAATCATTTTTTATCTGGGTGTGATTGCCAATCCTATTGCTGATTTAGCAGGTTAAAGCAAGGAGACTTATTAGAGTATTTGGAAAAGTATGATATGTTGTTATCAGGGTGGCCATTTCAAAAGAATTAGCTAAGTTTCTTTTTGTCTGGATTAAGAATAGAGTTAAAAAGTGCAGGCCGTGTTCATAGTCCTAAGACAGTCCGATATGACAGATATGGATCATCTTTCTCTTCGCCCACCAGGAATTATCCTATTACTACTTTAAATCAACAATCTCCTTTAAGTGGTACACATTCTGCAATTGTATCGGATTCCACGTGCTCAACTGCTCAATCTTTAACTCCGTAAACGAGTGAGTGAAAGGATTGCCAAGGGTCTTTGTAGGTGAGTGAGTGGGAGCGTTCGGTGCAGTGTTGGGTGAGAGAACGGTGGTGGTGGATAAAGTTGACAGCAGATATACACAGTCGGAGCGGTGGAAGAGTAGTGTGAGATAGAGGTTATTCGGAATACAAGAAAGGTTATCACAATAATACAGCCCTGCACCCAACCTTGCCATCTAAAACAAACGGCATAAAATTGCAGCTGAACATCATTCAACACTGCATTGCATTTTCAATTATTGGGGATACATTTTTTCACCTTCTAAAGGGGTTAAAG